TGTGAATTTTTACTTTATATTAGCAAATTCGGGTCAAAATTGGTATTTGCTAGATGTTGATTTCATGCATTGCAAAAATAGTTTTTTCTAGAGAAGGTAAATAACAGTAAACAACAAAATGCATTCTTTGGAGAGCAAACATTTGTAATATTTTGTATTTGTTTTCTCTATCTTAAAGTTTATAGTATTTATTTTTTAGGTGTTTTATGGTTGATAAAGACCAGGCTGAAGTCAATGCCATCCGTAAGGTGTTCAACGAGTCAGACATTCTCCTTTGTTGGTACCATGTAACGCAAGTAAGTACTAAGTTATGATACTGCTTTTGTTTTTCCTCATTTTATAGATTCATATTCTATTTTTATCAACTGTCATATTAATATATTTTTTATGTAAATCTCTAACAGTATTACCATTCACATTTTTTTTTTTTTTATCTTCAGTTGCTAATGAATCAGTGGATTGAGCTTAAGCTTATTTCACATTGCAACATGTCACACAACATACTGTAATATTACTTGACATTATCTGGGTATTAATGTGTGTTTATGTCAGTCATCGATGCACTTAAGCAAAAAAAAAAGTTCAAACTTTTGCTGAGCTATAGCAATAACATATATTGTTTTTACTTTGATTTGAGTACCCCTTAACTTGAAGCTTATAATACTTGATCCTAATAATGTCGAATGTGTCATGGAAGTTCTGACCATATTAAATATGTTGTGTTTCGTTTTTCCACCATTTATTACACACAGGCAGTAACTCGTTGGCTGTCAATATCTGAATCTGGTGTGAATGGACCTGAAAAGACAGATTCAAGAGCGCACATCATACAGTTTATGTCAGAGATGAAATGCTGTTCAAAGGTGTGTTGCTATTTGTTTTAGGGTGCTTTCACACCTATACTTTTGTTTCAGAACCTGTCTTGTTTGCCCAGTTAGCGCAGTTTGTTTGGCATATGTGAACAAGGCAATTGCGCTCTATTCCACGCCAAAGTAATCGCTCCGAGACCGCCTGAGTGAGGTAGTCTCGGCTCGATTGAAACGAACCCTGGAGTGGTTCGTTTGCAGTGAGAAAGCGATCCGATCCGAGCACGGTTATTACAGTGTTTTATGGATATGTGATAGGCATACGGCTATATGAAGAGAGAATTATGAGTAGGGTGGGAAGTTTCGCAAGTCTCCGGATGCCCGAAAACGAGTGATGACCTCCCCGTAATCTCGCATCACCCTCCCGGTCCTCAAATAGGCATCGTCGCGCACCCTTCTCACCCCTCCCCACCGCATCTCTCCTCAGACACGTCGCGCGTGCGCGCCTCGTCAATCACCACCAAACCACCACCTCTCCCTGACAGCTGAGCGGAACGCTGCAAAAAAAACCCTGGCACTCTGACCAATGTGAGGAGAGTTTACTCGCACTTGACTTGTATTAGCTCTTTTGGTCCGATTAGAAATTTTGCAGTCTGAAAGTGAACCGCTCCAAGAGCAAAGAGCAACAATGTTAACATTTTTAATCTCTTTTTCGGAACAACTAAATCAATTGACAGGTGTGAAAGCACCCTTATAGTACAATTGTATGTTCTAATGTGTCATTCTACTTTGGTAACAAGCTTGTAACATGCATTATTAATATGTGAAAAAATTATGTTAATGACAGCTAATATAAAATGGTAACCCACATACAGTATGAAGAGTTCAGATGCAAAAGCCTCTAAGTCAGGTCTCAAACTGCCGACCCTCAAACCATTTGCGGCCCTGCCTCCTCCATCCGGCCCACAACTGACATCAAAAATATAATGATATTCAGCCCATCAAAACATATATTTTTGAATCGCTATCATTGTTGTGCTATCACATACTTCTGGTTTTGACTCCCCACCTACTGGACATTTAAAGTTACATTTTAAGTGACAGGGTTACTTTCGATTTCTCTCAGTGTGCGGTCAAGAGTAACACATGCAGATTATTTCCGGGGCTGATTTAAACATTGAAAAATATGTCCGCAAGCGCTCTATTTTTGTAAATATTCAAGGGTCATTTGATTATAATCCGTTTTATACCCCCTGTACTTTGTTGTACAAACACCTTTTTATGGCTTACACATGTTTGTGTAAATATGATAGTTTTGCTAATATTCGATTCAAATGGTCTCATGAATAGATTTTCCTCATATACATATTAAGATTTGGATAAATGTGCATTAGTAAAATTTTACTGTTGGCTGTATTGAACATGTTAAAGTAAATATGAATATGTACATCCTTATCCCCTCATTTTATTTTTACCAAAAAGAATGATATTGAGAAGAACGATTGCTAGCAACGTCAATAAAGTTACCCAAACTACATTCTACTGTCGTACGCTGAAAATTAGCATATTTTCCAGCCTTTATTGTTTATGCTGTTATTTAACTTTAAAGGCAAGGTAAAAACACACCTTACCATTAAAGTTCAATTACAGAACCTACACACAGGAGCTGTAGAAAAAATTCTAATTTTAAGAGAAATTTTCAGATAACACTTGCATCTGGCCTCTTCTCACTCACACACAATTACTCTCCTTCAAAAATGAATTTATGCTGCTTATCAACTGTGTTCAGAAATAAACTAGGCTAGGTGTGCAGAGTTTCATAGATTAACTTTACATATTTTACACACATTTGTAAGCATTCCATTTATATTAACAACCTTAATTAATACCTTTTTAGGTCAGTTTAAAGTACATTTTACAGCATGAGCTAAATGTTTTTGTTTTAAATAAAGATATATTTTAATTCTGTTCTGAATAACATTTCAGATCATGGATCTTACATAGTCCAAAAGGAATTGATTAAATTTATAATAATTTGATTAAATGTGAAACTATGATTTTATAATTTATGATAACTTTGCAACTTTTCTTTTTTGTTATAAACATGGATTGTTTGGTGGGTCTGTTTTAGTTACTGCAAATAGTATTATGTTATGTTGTTTTATCCAGTCATAGACCTACAGTGATTTAGACAGTATAAGAACAATAAAGATTCTCAGTAGATTTACCATACACACTGGGGTATATGTCTGTGTGAAGGATTATTTAATGAGCTAAAAATCTACAGCAGTTCTTATGCTAACATCATGAAACATGATTTTCCTTGTCAATTTACAATTTACAGGCACAAGAATTTAAGGAAAAGGCTGAGATGTTTCACTGCCAGTTTAGGAACTTCAAATATGTCTGCAAGTACTTCAGGAACAACTGGGAGACAATTGGTCATCTGTGGTCTAACTTTGGAAGATGCTATAAACAGAGACTCTGACACAAACAGGGTGACTGGTCTGAAATACGCGATAAACCCCCATGAAAAACGCAAGTGTTGGCAGGTGTGCTCACCAGTTTAATATTTGATCTGCTATAGTTAGAAATCAGACTATTATATCTTTTAAACGTAACGCCTGTTTCACACCGCAAGCGTCAGCGGCGCGTGTTTTTTTGGCATCCATGTTAACAGATTAGAACTTTCTTACCGCACGCAGCAGCGTGTCAGTGAGCCGTGAGCATCGCTGAAGCAGCAGTGCAGCGATAGCGCTGCTCACGCTCAATTAAAGTGACAGTGCATTGATAATGACCTAAATACATTGAATAACAGTAAAAAGTAACAATTTTACCCAATAAATGTCAATAATATAAACTGATTTACATATAGTCAATCAAATGAACTTAAACTAATAAAAACTGCAACAAACCTTTATTTCGGCTCGAACTACAAAACCAATAGTAAAACAGTTTTAGTATCAGTTTTGTTGGAGAGGGGAAGTGATTTACGGGAATTGTAGTCCATAGCAAAGCGTATTGTGGGTTGTGTAGTTCGACACCCATGCTGGATGATGTGAACTCACTGTGTGCTGTGCTGCTTAAGCAGAGGAAGAAAGCTTTATTCGGCTTTGCTTTGTTCGCTCAAGTTATTTCACCTGGGAGCTGTTTGCACTGTGAACCTGACAACACGAAAATAAGTAAAAGAAGGGCATGCATTGATCACTTTTATCCGTCTCATCCTTTGCACGAGCATAAATTAACATGCAGTTACTCTGCCGCTGGACATTACTGAAGTGGATTATGTATAAATATCATTATAACTACTGTATAGATATAACTATAGGCTTACAACATCCTGTCAATCAAAAACCAAATATCACTGGCGATTGTCTTCTGACGTACTCCTCATAGAGTTTGAGAAGCATACAGGACTGTTTGATCTATAAAATTTGTAAAATAAAGATTTGCAGGTGTGAAACAGCCGTAAGGACTTATGCGGTTCTGTCGCCATCTTGTGGATAGAAAACGTCAACTGTCGACGACGAGCTGTCTCTCAGAAATTGTAAATATTTTAAAATAAGCACTATTCTTGCAAATAAACTGCATAGTTGCAATCAAAACAACTACATTCTCAACTAAAAAAAGCCTCAAAAGTATATTTTGTTGTGTAACAGCAATAATATTTGTCAAACTGTAGTGTCTGCTGTATGTGGGCGGAGTTATACACAAAGGGTAAAAAGGTAGTACGGATGCTTAAATTACTTAAATATATCACGGCTATCAGCCAATTCAAAATCCAGACAGAATTGTTGTGTGTGTATGTATATATATATATATATATATATATATATATATATATATATATATAGTTAAAAAATATTTACTATTTTCCCAAGTGTATATAACCACTACTGTAAGAAAATGTCAGAATCTGGTACATTCTTTCTGTATTATCTTTGCTTGAACTGACCCGATCTAATCCTGTTTATATTAATTGAACCTGCTCCCGACCAGGTTTGAGCTACCAGAACTGTTGCTATGACAACAACTCTCGGATCAGTTTTGAAGAACGAAACGATCCTGAATCGTGTCAAATCGTCATTATCCAAATCCAGCTAACTGAGTAATCCACGTACGAAGAACTGACCCTAGATGTCGGTTTTGCTATTAAACCAAGAAGAAAACGCAAAGAAAACAAGTTTTTTTTAAATTTTATTTTGTACAGTATATCTGATATCAGTTTAGAACATAACATTTACAATAGAACAACTGTCTAAAATGAAATAAAATTCTAATTGTAAAAACGTAATCTGAGTTTTGTTTTTGTTTACCACCTTAGTTGTGTACTAAGCTTATTTCAGGCAGTCCTCTAGAAAGGAAGAAGAAAACATCAACTGCGAGAGGTTCCAAGAAATGAGTTGCCAAATCAAAGCATGATTCAAGGCCCAGGTTTTGCACATTTATCTTGTTCAATGCTCCTCCTGAAAAACAAACAAACAATAATGTTACTTGCAATCACGAGTTGCCTGTTATACAAAATTACAAAAGATGCTAGATTTTCATTTTCTAGTTGATAAATTGACTTCTTGATAAAGGGACAAGACAACAGGCTGAAAAGTTTGTACTATGTTAATATTACAATAAAACACATCACGTTTAATAAAACACTATAACATCTCCAAAAACTGCTACTTTTCCATGCCATAAGAGAGTTTGTGCTGCTGGGCATAGTAAATCTGAAATGGTTTTACACAAAACTACAATCTAGAAGCTCAATCCTTAACATGTGTTTAAAATTTCAGCTTTAAACAGACTTAAAGAGTTTATTAGGTATTAAAGAGTTAAGGAAGTCTGAACAAAATATTTATTGCTTGTTTTTATGTAAAAACACACACACACACATATGTGTGTGTGTGTGTGTGTGTATATATATATGATTTTTAAAAGATGATTTTAATAAATCCGAGATGATGACCTGAAGTTAACGTACTAATAATATTACAAATCAGTGATGATGACCTGAGGTTAAGATATTATTATTATTAAAAAATCAGTGATGATAACCTGAGGTTAACATATTAATAAATCAGTGATGATGACATGAGGTTAAGATATTATTAATATTAATAAATTAGTGATGATTACCTGAGGTTAAGATATTAATAAATCTGTAATGATGATGTATTAATAATATTAATAAATCAGTGATGATGACCTGAGGTTAACATATTAATAAATCAGTGATGATGACGTATTAATAATATTAATAAATCAGTGATGATGACCTGAGGTTAACATATTAATATTAATAAATCAGTGATGATGATGTATTAATAATATTAATAAATCAGTGATGATGACCTGAGGTTAACATATTAATAAATCAGTGATGATGACGTATTAATAATATTAATAAATCAGTGATGATGACGTATTAATAATAATATTAATAAATCAGTGATGATGACCTGAGGTTAACATGTTAATAATATTAATAAATCAGGGATGATGACCTGAGGTTAACATAATAATAATATTAATAAAACAGTGATGATGACCTGTGGTTAACAAGTTAACATTAGTAAATCAGTGATTATGACCTGTGATTAACGTATTAATAATATTAATAAATCAGTGAATATGACCTGAGGTTAACATATTATTATTATAAATAAATCAGTGATGATAACCTGAGGTTAACATATTAATAAATCAGTGATGATGACCTGAGGTTAAGATATTATTAATATTAATAAATCAGTGATGATGACCTGAGGTTAACATATTAATAATATTAATAAATCAGTGATGACCTGAGGTTAACATATTAATAAATCAGTGATGATGACGTATTAATAAATCAGTGATGATGACCTGAGGTTAACATATTAATAATATTAATAAATCAGTGATGATGACCTGAGGTTAACATATTAATAATATCAATAAATCAGTGATGATGACGTATTAATAATATTAATAAATCAGTGATGATGACCTGAGGTTAACATATTAATAAATCAGTGATGATGACGTATTAATAATATTAATAAATCAGTGATGATGACCTGAGGTTAACAAATATTAATAAATCAGTGATGATGACCTGAGGTTAACATAATAATAATATTAATAAAACAGTGATGATGACCTGTGGTTAACATGTTAACATTAGTAAATCAGTGATTATGACCTGTGATTAACGTATTAATAATATTAATAAATCAGTGAATATGACCTGAGGTTAACATATTATTATTATAAATAAATCAGTGATGATGACCTGAGGTTAACATATTAATAAATCAGTGATGATGACGTGTTAATAATAATTATAAATCAGTGATGATGACCTGAGGTTAACATGTTTATAATATTAATAAATCAGAGATGACCTGAGGCTAACATAATAATAATATTATTAAATCAGTGAGGATGACCTGAGGTTAACATATTAATAATATTAATAAATCAGTGAGGATGACCTGAGGTTAACATATTAATAATATTAATAAATCTGTGATGATGACCTGTGGTTAACATGTTAACATTAGTAAATCAGTGATTATGACCTGTGGTTAACGTATTAATAATATTAATAAATCAGTGATGATGACCTGAGGTTAACATATTATTATTATTAATAAATCAGTGATGATAACCTGAGGTTAACCTATTAATAAATCAGTGATGATGACCTGAGGTTAAGATATTATTAATATTAATAAATCAGTGATGATGACCTGAGGTTAACATATTAATAAATCAGTGATGATGACGTATTAATAATATTAATAAATCAGTGATGATGACCTGAGGTTAACAAATATTAATAAATCAGTGATGATGACCTGAGGTTAAAGTATTAATAATATTAATAAATCAGCTATGATGACCTGAGGTTAACATATTAATAATATTAATAAATCAATTATCATGACCTGTGGTTAACGTATTTATAATATTAATAAATCAGTGATGATGACCTGAGGTTAACATATTATTATTATTAATAAATCAGTGATGATAACCTGAGGTTAACATATTAATAAATCAGTGATAATGACCTGATGTTAAGATATTAACAATATTAATAAATCAGCGATGATGACCTGAGGTTAAGATATTAACAATATTAATAAATCAGTGATGATGACCTGTGGTTAACATATTAATAATATTAATAAATCAGTGATAATGACCTGTGGTTAACATGTTATCATTAATAAATCAGTGATTATGACCTGTGGTTAATGTATTAATAATATTAATAAATCAGTGATGATGACCTGAGGTTAACATATTATTATTAATAATAAATCAGTGATAATAACTTGAGGTTAACATATTAATAAATCAGTGATGATGACCTGAGGTTAACACATTAATAATATTAATAAATCAGCGATGATGACCTGAGGATAACATATTAATAATATTAATAAATCAGTGATGATGACCTGAGGTTAACATATTAATAAATCAGTGATGATGACGTATTAATAATATTAATAAATCAGTGATGATGACCTGAGGTTAACATATTAATAATATTAATAAATCAGTGATGATGACCTGAGGTTAACATATTAATAATATTAATAAATCAGTGATGATGACCTCAGGTTAACATATTCATAATTTTAATAAATCAGTCATGATGACCTGTGGTTAACATATTAATAATATTAATAAATCAGTGATGATGACCTGAGGTTAACATATTAAATATATTAATAAATTAGTGATGATGACCTGAGGTTAACATATTAACAAATCAGTGATGATGACCTGAGTTTAACATATTAATAATATTAATAAATCAGTGATTATGACCTGAGGTTAACATACTCATAATTTTAATAAATCATTGATGATGACCTGAGGTTAACATATTAATAATATTAATAAATCAGTGATGATGACCTGAGTTTAACATATTAAATATATTAATAAATTAGTGATGATGACCTGAGGTTAACATATTAATAAATCAGTGATGATGACCTGAGGTTAAAATATAAATGATATTAATAAACCTGTGATGATGCCAACATATTTAACAGAATAAATAATGAAATCACTAACGTTAGTTGAATTTTGCAGCGATTCACAGTAGTTAAGTTAACACCTCAAATAACCTACTGTCTTGTGTTTAAACTAGTGCTGTTTTGGTCCACATTTCTGGCGTGTCTTTAAATGAAAATGACATAATACATGTTAAAAACCGAATTATTAGAAAAAAATGGCGCTAAGTTAGCAAGAGGGCAAGTTTAGTCGCGTTTAATAACGTTTGCTAGATTTAAATATTCAAAAAAATACTGTTAGCTTGTTTTAATTAATACCAGAAAGTAAGTCACAGTAACGGTAGAGCAGCACGCTAATCTAACGTTAGGTAGGGACGGCTATTTAGGCTAACTTAATGCAAACAAAAGTTAAACGTTGCTCGTTCACTTCGCTGGAAAAAAGGGACAAATCTATAAACACATATGAATTTTACAATCATTACTGCTTCTGTAAACTTACAGAAGAAAACCGGTGATCTCACCTCTTCACTTGTCCTCTTCACCTGTCCTCTTCACTGGTGAAAATGGCAGTTGCCTGTGTGTGGGTGGGTGTGTTTTCTTATTTGAATTTGCGTTTTTTGGCGGACTCTGCAGGAGGCTCATAATGATGACGTAATAACATTTGATTGGCTGATAGAGATGTTGTCCCTGGGTCATCATAAAATATGTTGGTCTCAGGACAACTAGCACTTGGCAAAATCAGGACGAGCGTGGTACCACTCGGGCTGTTGTGGCTAAGGCCATTCCAGCGCTAGCTCATAAGAAAACGCCTTTGTCCAATACGGGACAAGTACAGAAAGATCAAAGTCACGACCCGCTGCATGCAAACCCTAGCACCGTGGTCACAGCAGAAGTTTCTTACCTCCGGGGTTCACCTAGGACCTCCACCTGCACATTGGGAGGTCATAATGACTGATGCAAGTCTTCTTGGCTGGGGGGGAGTCTGGCGCAAAAGAGGAGTGAATGGCACTTGGAGAGGGACTTTGCGCAAAGCACACATAAATGTTTTGGAGCTAACAGCAGTGTTCCTTGCTCGAATGTCTCACTGTCTTCATTGGTTCTCTCTGATGGACGAACCAGGATCTTTGGGCTTGGACTGGACCCGACTGGCCGGATGTGATCTTGTTAGCCTTTCCCCCAACTGCCACTAATTTGGAAGACAATTTGCTGGGTGCGCGACACCAAACACCATCTGTTGTTAGTGGCTCCGCGCTGGGCTGCAAGACAATGGTTTCAGACTCACCACCCTGTCGTCTGCCGAGCAGACCAGATTTACTGTGTCAGTTGGAAAGGAGAGTTTGGCACCAGCACCCAGATCGACTGAAACTGTGGGTATGGCCACTGGGGCCACCAGGCCTATACTGGAGTGTTCAGAAAGGGGCAGGCACACTGTTTGAATGCGCGTGCTGCATCCACTCGCATGTTGTATTTGTGCAAGCGGAAGGTTTTTTGTGACTGGTGTTCTAGCCATAATATTGATCCTTTACAATGAAATGACATAGCATGCATTTTAAACTTCTTGCAACACCTTTTTGAACTTGGACGTTCTACATCGACACTTAAGGTGTACATTGCAGCTTTGTCAGCTCACTGTAAGAATCCCCTAAACTAGGCACCAGATTCAGCGAAGTTCAGCGAGTCGACCCGGAGACAGGAGAAGAGACCAAACTGTAGTTAGAATGGTTTATTCTGCAAGCCTGATACATAAGGATGAGCAGGGATATATATACATAGTGGGCTGACCTTTTAAAAGTTATACAACAGAAGGAAGACACTCTTAATATGGGCATGTTATACAAGCAACATAAAGAGGAAATGTATAGAGCGGGACTTTCCACTGTGGGAGCAGCCTGCAAGACAGAAACCAGGCCTTGACCTCAGACCTCCGACGCACACACACACACACACACAAAACCACAGGCGCTTCTGCTTCTCCTGCAAGCACACCTAAAAGAGGACAAAATGTTCTCTCAGTCCCCTCTTTTAGGCCATAGGCCTAACGCAGAGGAATCTTATCATACCGTTGACCCATCATACTGTCCATTGTGGCATAGATTCGAGTCATTAAACATTGCAAGAGAAAAGGACCACAACAACAAATAAGAAGGAAAATAATACATACAGGAATTATCATAGTAAGGAAAGGGGTCACCCAACCAAACAAACCAGTCATCCAACCCCAAGTCATGTCAGGGACATAATCTGAAATCATGGCAATTTTTAACCCTTGGAGAGTAGACATAGCAGTGTCCATTTCATCACTGTGCACGTCATCAGGTACATAGGTACAACATGTGGTATTTATTAAAACACAAACCCCGCCCTGGGATGCTGTCAAAAGGTCTAGAGCCACTCTATTTTGCAGGACCATGGTACGGAGATTACCTAATTCCTTATTCTGGGCTTCGTTAATAATTTTTGAGGCATTCAGAAATAGGCCCATGCGATAGTCCAGGGTCTCGATTCTTAGTAGAGCTTTTCCCACACCTATTTGCGGAAATAGAGCCAATACCATTTTGTTACCAGTCGTCCATAACTTGAAATCCTCGGGCACGTCAGTACCCCATACAGAGTCATGGGGCTTCATTTCAGGGACACTGCGTTTAACTCTTCGCTGCGCTGACAGGACCTGGGCTGTCACAATAAAAGTGTGATCAGTCACATGCACAGGGGCACACTGCCCCGTCCAGTTGGCCGGTAAGGACATGTAGGCGTTGTTCCCACACAACCACCACCCACCCTGGACCACATAAGTGCCATTTGAGGGTCCTGAGATGTCGACTGGGGCCCCCTCTCCCGAGGAGGCAATTTGTTGACAGTTAACAGTGCTTCCCATGACATGAGAGCCCTTGGTCTGGTTATAGCACATAGGGTGTGTAATAGAGTGGTTAATAAAAACCTTGTGGCTAATAGGTGAGGGTTTAGCATGGCCAAATTTTACCCAAAATAGAGCATCACATGTACCATTTCTGATGCCAATCCGGTATGGATCGTAGTCATCGACAATTATATATGGGTCCTGGTACCCTGATCCTGCAAAACTGGCAAAACATTTAGCAGAGGTCTTATTCATGGGTTTGGCATAAAGAGGGGTTTGCTTGGCTGAATGAGGCATAACAGAACATACATAACAACCAGATACATTATATTATCTAGCTAGAACCTTCACATATTGATACCACATATTAGTTCCAATGGGATTGTCAGCCCCATCCTCTGCCCATCCGAATTCATGATCATGTGTCCAGCGTTTCAGCCTGGCTGCATTAGCTTGAGTCACAAGAGAGAGTAACAGTCCCAATGTCCAGAACCAAGTCATGTCGATCCTATTCCTGTTCCAGAGGGTGGTTGCTGGTGTGGAGGTGCTGGTTGTGTTGTGGGGGCCCCCAAAGGATCTGTAAAACAGAGAGTCTGCAGACAGATTATCTTTGTACAAAACATCATTCTACAGGAGCTCTTTTTATTCTGGTTGCATGGATCCACTGTGGAGAAGAGGAGGTTAAGACGGCGGTTCTGGTTACAGCCACGACATCCGTCGGGGGGCCATATTTGGGGTCCCCCAGTTCTGTGCTCATTTTATTGAACTGTCTAATCATTACTCTGTCACCGGCCTTAAAGGGCTGTGTTGGGTCTACCGGCATCGGGGCTGAACCAGAATGTATGTTAGTCCAATATGTATGCAATGTTGTTAGTAACTGTTGTGCATATTCACTCATATGAACATCCAAAGAACCATCACCCAGTGTGGTACCCCTTTGCCTCCATGGTGAAGGAAAGGGTCGTCCCATCACAGTCTCATAAGGAGATAAACCGTGAAGGCTTTTGTGAGGAGACATCCTCATGTCTGCCAGAACGACAGGTAGCAAGGCGAGCCAATTTGAGTGCCCTGCATGTTGCATAGCCTTTCTTAATTTGTCCTTGATGGTCCTATTAGTTCGTTCTACTATACCAGATGATTGTGGATGGTATGGGATATGTAACTGCCAGTTAATTTGGAGTTCTTTTGCCAAGTTCTGTACCACTTTGGCGGTAAATGAGGTTCCTTTGTCTGAATCAATGGCACATGGTATACCATATCGTGGAATGATTTCCCTTGTCAAACATCTGATAACTGTATTAGCGTCTTCTTTACCACATGGGAAGGCTTCAACCCATTTTGAAAATTTGTCCACAAAAACCAGTAGATATTTATTGGGACCCCTCTTTGGCAGATGTGTGAAATCTACCTGCCACTCCTGAAAGGGTGTTTCAGGGAGGGGCAATTGTTGATGTTGAGCTTGAGGTTTAGTGATGTTATTTTGAGCACATATCAGACATCTATCTAGCGTATTATTGACATGGTGCTGTAAATTATTGATGCATAAAAAGGAGCTCATTGTGTCTATGACCCCTCTTCGGCCGCGGTGTGTAACACCGTGAAACTCGCGGACGAGAAAAGGTGCACAGGATGATGGCAGGCATAAGCGGCCTTTGCCATCTAGCATTACACCATTAGGATCAGTCGTGGCGTCACATTCAGACCAGTAAGTATGGTCTTGCGAGGAGGCACATGCTTGTATGGAAAGGATGTCGAGAGGTGGTAGCATGCTGCTGTTTTAGATGTGTCAGGAGCTCCTCCTGATCATCTTTCCACGCGAGGCGGGTTTTTATACGAGTGCGTGTCTTTTTACCCTCATCTGCTTTCTCCTTAATTGTCTCTGTGTGTACTATATCATGCTTGGGATCAAGAGCAGGTATTTTTGTTGTTATTTCGTCATCGTCATATGACGAACCCATTTTGGTTTGAAGGATAAATCGATAATCTGCCCCAATTAGTTGGCAGTGACGCGAACTGCGCAACAGCATGTCTACAAATTGCAGTGGTTTGTCCACTTCGGGCAGAAGAGATATAAGGTCTTTAAGAGCAGAGGGTGAAGGGGGAATTATTTCTATCCCTCGTGGTTTAGCAACCCACACCGCAGCCACATTGGAGGCTGAGGCAGCGCCCTCAGCGCCGTCAGGGGAGTCTGCCTTAGTCTTAATCATTTCTGTCAGTGACGGATAAATAGAAGGCACTGTAGGAGGAGCACTGGCAGAGCATGAAATAGATTGCGGAGGCCCCGTATAAGGGGGCGGTGACGTCATGGTGGTTTTAGCAGCTGCAAGAGAGCCCCTTTTATCTGCCATAAGGGCAGTATTACTTCTGCTTTTGGGTTTGGGGACAGATTTCAAAACAGTTTTGGGTGTAAAAATGCCCTTTTTATCCCTCCATATGGAGCTCATTTTATACCATGTGTCATATCCATTCATCATATATTGATCATTCCATTCTGGATCCCCATATCCTTCATACGTCAATTTGTAAGCTAACTGAAGGAAACCTGGGTCAAAGGTTCCTTCCCTGGGGAAGTCTCTCCATTGAGATTGCCCCTCTGTCCACCCAGCTAAGTTAGACAGCCAGGGTTCAGTGTAAAATCCCCACCCACATCTATCCATCCATTCTTTTGGAGTTTCACTGGGTTCCGGTTTTGGATAACCCTGCCCCATTATGCTGAAGCTGGTGCGTCTGGTTGTATTATTAACTGATTATTTCCCCAATTTGTGCAACCTAAATTCAATTAGGTACTGAAACACAAATTCTTCTGTACAACTCAAATTCAATTGAGTACCAGGTTGTGTAACCCAAATCTAATTGGGTACAGGAACACAATTCTCACCGTATAACTCAAATTTAA